GGCTGGTGGTAACCTACCTGGATTCGGCTGCTTCCTTCGGATCCTCCCGCTGCTGCGACCCTCGGCTCCTCACTGCCTCCTGCTGCTCAAAGCCGCAGGGTGTGGCTGAACGACGACGTGGGGGGCTGCTTCCAGCTCCAACACACGAGAGAAGACGACGACGACAGCGGTGAGGGAACACACGGCGCGGGGCAGGGCTGAGGCCGACTAACGGGGTGGGGCCGGCGCGGGGCAGGGCCGAGTACTTCAAAAACGAACTACTTGGATTTCCCTGCCCTTTCGCTTTTGCGGGGCCCAGCGCGCCCTCAAAAGAAAATATATTTTTTTCCGTTAACCGGCGGCGCGAAGTGCCTACCGGCCTTGCAACCCCCCCCCCCCCCCCCCAACTTTGTTTTTTTTTTGGTGACCCCCCGATTCCAGAGTGCGCCGCATGCGATGCGTGCGCGGCGTGCGCACTGCGCGGTGTGGTGCACGTGCGCGGTGCAGCGCATGTCGATGCGCCGCATGTATGGTACTCAGACTCTGTCATCAATCTATTACTGACTGCATGCAATATCTGTTGGCCACATGCAATGATCACCATGGAAATGATAAGTTTCTTTTTGGAAATGGTATGTTATGCTGTCAAGTACTTTACACTGGGGGTTTGATTTGCAATTGCAGTTTTACCTGCTACACCCTTTGCCTGTAGATCATAATTTTACCAGAGTAACGGGGAGTCGCAGACTATACATCAATCTGACACCCGTCTTTTTTTTTTTTTTTTTTTTTTTTGGGGGGGGGGGGGGGGGGGGGGGGGCGGGGACCACTTCTCAATTTATGAGTGTCATCCTTACGCAGGGGCCATGCTAATCTTCTCTATATCGTTCGAATTTTTACCCACGTCTTGTTCAACTCTTGGTTTGCTTATGCATTTTGTGAACCTTGCCACTTTGGACCATTTCTTTGGCTTACTAGCCCATTTCTGATTGCCAAGCTCCACCAACTTGGACTGACTTACGCAGGAGAAAAGCCTGAGGCCAGAATGGATCCTTCAGTTTGAGGACGTAATCAAGTCTGCTGCGATCGTCATTTTGGATGGAAATTTGCTTCCGGAGACCCTTGAAGCTGCTTGCGATGGTTCGTGTGCAGGATGATGGGATGTACTATTGAGCACTCACCTTTGTCAAAGGAAAAATTGCAGAAGCAAAGGAAAAGGGAAAAGAGGCCTCTTGTCACTTGGAAACAAGGATGTTCTATTGAATGAAAGCGAGCTTGGCCGTCTGGATGTGGAACTTGGGAATAAATTTAAGGAGCACCAGGAGCCTGGTATTGTATGAGTGCTTGAGATGAACTGTGGTGATGAATGTTGGTCGAGTAAAGCTAAGCTTTACCTCTATCTATAAAATAATTAAAAAAATATTAATCTATTGGAGTGGCATCATGGTTTGCTCATGAGGCCAGTACATGAATGGTCACACCTGGTGTCCAACGTGCCCATACAACATGGCTTGTCCGATAAGTGCTTTAACCAGGCTGTGCGGGCTGTCTCACTTTGCACTCGGGCCTGCGACCACTGCACAGGAGATCCTCTGGAATGCTGGGAGGGTTCCTCAGTTTTCCTTAAGACGGGGATTAGGGGGTGCATTAGGGAGCGAGAGCGCGGGGGTACTTTTTGGGGGAACAAGTTGCCTCATGGGGAGTAGGGTAGGCTCGTCTCTTGCTGGGGCTGGTAAACTGGCGTCAACACGATGGTTCTAATTAGTGGAGGCAGCAAGGGGAGAGGTGGGATGGTATGAGGAGTAAGAGGTGGAGGAGACTGGGGAGAGCGAAGAAACATCAAGAACCATCATCATCATCATCATCATCATCATCGTCATCACTTCTCAATTCTTTTTTCTATGTTCTTTTCTATACTCGAGGTTGTAACAATCCTCTCCACAAGGTTGCTGACGTGGAGGGAGGGCAGGACGGATTGAGTGGGGAAAACTCTTTTCCGCAGGGGATACACAAGGTGGGAAGTGTTTGCCCGTAGGTAGTAAGGGCGGATAAGGGGGACTGTTTAACTCTGGGGCTGGGAGAGATGGAAGGCGGAACATCATCTAGTAGCAGCGGTGGCAGAGTAGGACAGAGATAGCTCGAGGTAGGCATTTTGGGGGAACAGCCTTCTTCAAGGGGAGTAAGGTAGAGGGAGGCTTTCCTATTACTGGGGCTGTGCGCCGCTTAACAACAGAGTGGTTCTGATTAGCGGAGGCAGCAATGGGAGAGGAGGGGTGGTAAGAGGGGAAAAGAGGAGGGGTGGACAAGAAGGGGTGGACAAGAAGGGGTGGACAAGAAGGGGTCAATCAACATCGAGTATCATCATCACCATCATCATCATCATCAACATCATCATCGTCATCATCAGATTGGTTGTTTGCTCAGGACCACAGTATTATCAGATCCAAATTCTGAGGTGACATTCTAATATAGCTGATTCCCTAATCGAGCTTTTATTGTGTTTTTGCCCAGGTTGAGTAGAAGCGAGAACGACGCTGGCCGGCGCTGGGTTATCGCTCTGTAACCTTCATAAGAGCTTGAGGCCTTCGGTAGAGATCAGGGGATTGCTGAGGGTGGAAGGCAATCATGATGCTCAACCAAGAGCTACAATCTGGCCGACGAGGGTCGGCGCTGGGGTGGGTGGCACTGCCCTGTAACCTAGCTAGATTGGGGTGTGAGACCGGGTACAGGCTTGGTTGGTACACAGTATTGGCTCGGTAGAGATTGGCTGGTTGGTATGGATACCTGAGATTAGGGTTAGGGTAGTATGTGAGTTCTGAGTAGATAAGCATTCTGAGTAGTCAGCATCAATCTCTAGCCTATTATCTCAATCATCTTGAAGTGTTCTTGAATTATCCCAAATTCTCATCACAAAAGGGGGTGTGTTAGGGAGAGTGTTGAGGTCGGGTGGGAGGGGCCTCGTGGGTGGGAAATAATAAATGAATAATTCTGGATCTTCTATCCTCTTTGGTCGCACTGCATGCTATGGTGTCGTATGGCTGAGTAGTTCCCATAGTTGTTGGAGGAATTGGGTCCTTGGCCACTCTGCATGCCATGCCGTCTTAAACCGCCACTATACAGCCCCAGCCTTGCAAGATTTCTTTTTTTTCATTTCTTTTTTTTTTTTTGGATCACTCCTAAGATTTCACAGGCTTGATGAGGTGAAAGCACAGTTGGAACAACTTCACTCACAAACTGAAATACAACAGACTATTCAACAGTTCAGTCGTGGCTAGTTTGGGGGGGTACAATTGGAAAGGGGACAAGTGGGAGCCCAGGGGGATGCCCAAGGGGAAATAGTCTGGGATTATTGCCTTGGGTTTCATAATTGGACCACACTAGACCCCTCCATCCTCCTCAGGCCTTCCGCAAATTTCCCAGATCCTCCCCCCCTTCCCCCCCGCCCCCCCGCCCAGGAGTTTGGTAGAGCAGTGGAGGTATGACTAAAAGCCCAGGGTGGGGTTAGGGTCAAGAGTCAGGGTTGGAAGAGCCCCTGGACAAGGCCAGGGCCCAGGGACCAGGGTTAGGGTTTAAGGGGTCTGAGGCAAGTGGTCAAGGTTCAAATGGGAAACGCAGGTTCCAGGGGTTGAAGTCTGCTGAAGACATCTATATCAGAAGGTCGGGGAGTACAGGACGAAGTGCCAGCCACACCTTAACAAGGGCATAGGGTATAGGGTTCTGGGCCTTACCCCCTACCCCCAGAAGGCATAGTTACCAGAGATGGCTAGGATAGATCAGGCGTCCAGCAGCAGGGTGAAGAGGTACTGGAAACATTCTCAAGCACTTATGGTTCAAACGCAGTCAATCGAACTTCAAATCATGTTCAAATCATGTTCAGTTATGTTCGAAAAAGGGATGCTAGACCCGATCCAGCAGGTGAAGCTCCCCACCAATAGATGGAGCGGCCGGCAGCAGACTAACTGGGGGAGGCTGCTCGTACCACCTCCCCTAATAAGCCCCACTGGCATTCTTCAAACAAAAAAAAAAGAACGGATGCTTGCAGCTACCGGACCACAATGGCTGGCGGCGCCAGCCAAAAAAGGAAAAAAGTGCGCCACTGGCGGTTCGGTAAAGCTTGGCGCGCTGTGTTGCGCCGCCACGTCCGGGTGTACTGGTGGTTTATACCACCAGTTGTTCGGAGCCTCTTTTTCCAGATGCTGAAATTTGGCCGGCCGTAAGAAATCCAAACCGTCCCGGTGTGCAATTTGCCTGGTGCTGGCAGTGTGTTTGCAACAAGCACTCTGCGACTTTTTGTCACCCCGTGTTAACTGGCGGACACTTTTTGGAAGGCTGGGGCAACAACTGGTGGTTTAAGGCTGAGGAGCTCCCAGACATAGTTTCTGAAGAAGTTAAGGCCTTGATCACACTGCATATTCTGCTGTCCTCAGACGGAATACAACGTAAGAATCAGACTATGGAGGAATTGGGGCCTTGACCACATGCTGTTTTAAGTTAAGGCCTTGATCACACTGCATATTCTGCTGTCCTCAGACTGAATACGACGTAAGAATCATACTATGGAGGAATTGGGGCCTTGGCCACATGCTGTTTTAAACCACCGGTACTAGGGACCCTTCCTTTGTCCTGTGGAGGCCTTTGTATGCCTCAGCTCATACATTCGGACCAGCGTGGCGCTCGAACAGGCACAGCTTTCTCAAGTTATGGTGGTTTATTAGTACAGTGGAACCTAAATTGCGGAACTTATATTTTTTGCACCCGGACAAATTGAACTGGTCCCGACCAGCCCAGTATGTCGAAAGTGTGGGCCTCTTGTATATGGGTGAAACTTCCAGAGGAGGGAGTCTGGTACTGATGTTTAAAAGCTGAGTAGCTCCCATACATATCACACTGCTGTCTGTCCTGAATACAATGTAAGAGACTGTGGAGGAATTGGGGCCTTGTCGTTTGGGACATCTGTTAAAATTGGAACGATACAGAGAAGATTAGCATGGCTCCTGCGCAAGGATGACACACATAAATCGAGAAGTGGTCTAAATTTTTCAAAGAAAATTAAAGGAATTGGGCCCTTGGACTTCAAGCCTTGATCATACTGCAAGCTATGCTGTGCTCAGACTGTTTGAAATGTAAGAATCAGATTATGTTACGCCAACTTAGCGCAGAGAACGCCTAAGTTGTGGTCGAACTTAACCGTTCCTTACCAGGTCCACCTCACAACAAAAGTTTCTTTGTGCCCGATGGTACTGTTTGTCTGTCTCAGTTTATTGTGCCTGTGCGTGGATGAATGCTCTTGAAGCGTGATCCCTGGCTCTGTTGCTGTACGATCGTTGGCTTCGGAGAGAGGCGACTTCCCATCATAAGAGCTCGAGGAATGCTTGCTCTCACCTAGCTCCCAATACCCCGTAGCTCCATAACAGATTTCCATTGCAGTGCATGACTTGTGGCATCACAGTCACAGTGCTTGCTATTCAGAACTGCTGTGTCATTATCGTTATTGTTGCAGTTGCACGTCAGTATGGGGTGCCTATCTGGTTCGAACCAGTGTCAGTAGCCAAGGCAGTGCGTGTGGCATCATTCCTCCACAAGGTAAGTGGCACTTGCATGTGCACTGCTCAGTCTTTGCTTATGGTTCTATCAAGGTTTTGTGCTTGTTCCTCGGATATAGTTCTGTCAAGGTATTTCATTCTTTCCCTGGCTCGCCTGTTTCGGTGTGGGGTCGGGATTGGTGTTTTGGTTTGGTATAGTTCCGCATAAAACTCCTTTGCTATCTTCAGCATCCCTTCACTATCTCTGTGGACTATAGACGGATCCGATGTATCTGATGGGCTTTCTATGGTGTTCGCTCTATTGTGGGCTTCAATTCTTGCAAAAAAATATTTCGTCATTGATTCGTTTACTTCATACTCAGTCATTCTTGCTCTGATTTGTAGGCCCCTTACTTCCCATTGTCGCCTTAGTGCAAGCACTTCTCTGGCGTTGTCCTGGGTTTGGCTGTATATCAGTGGGATTGGATTGTCAATCAACTTCTGTTCAGCTATTGCCAGAGCTATCTCTAGTGATCTTTATCTGTTTTGTCTATCCTTTGCTAGCCTGCGACAGAGTTGAGAGACTGCTTGGGAAAGTGATATGTGGCTCTTAATAAACCACTCCCGCCTATCGTGATTTGGGAGGTATCTGCCCCGTAAGTGTTGCTATGCTGCTGTGATCCCTTCTATGAAAGATTGGCTTGACGGAAGAGAGTTGTTCAACTTAAAAAACTTGCTCCTTTCTTAACCACCGGATCAAAACGCATCACTACCTTCTTCACCTGAATACAATGTACGGTCATTACTGCTGTATTTAGACGGAAACATACCCCAAATACAGCTGTAATCACCGTACGTTGTATTCGGGTGAAGAAGGTAGTTCAAGAGGTTTATGGTCCAAAGGTGTATATGAGGCGAGCTCGAGGATTCCAGCTTCTTTAACTGCCCCCGTAAGAGATTGTGATAAGTGAAAAAAGTCTATCTGAGAAAAGGCCGTGTATTGAGCGTGGTTCTTTTTTACCAAGGACTATGCTTTCTTGCTAGGGTGTACTGTTCTAAAAGGTCCTATCAAAACGTAATCCACTAGTTTTGTATCGGTAGAGCTTTTGTGCTGGTTGCGACGCCGATGACCTTGAGATCCTGTCTAAACTAGAGTCAAGAGTGGCATTCCAGTCTCCTGCTAGAATACAGGGTATCGTAGACGGTATACTTTGGCTTAGGGACTGAAAGAACAGGGCTCGTTCATGGGCTGCCTTGGGTGCATAGATGTTGATGAGTCGGAATTCCTTTTCTTTCCATTTGAGGTCCATGTAACCCCATCTTCCTTCTGTGTTGTCTGCTTGTGCTCCTAGCACTTCTCCATATGCGTAGAGCTTTTTTTGAAAAGTCATCGTGTTCCACGTGGATTCGAACTCAGGTGCGTATTTCAACAGTTCATGGGTGTACCAACTGAGCTTGGCCCCCTTGGTGTCTGTGCAGAGCATCTAATTGCTTTTCTTTCCTCTTTTTCCATGTCATCTGATTGGTGGACAGGTAGATTTTGTCTCTCCAAATGAGGCTGAACTAATTGCCATGTCAGAGGTGTTGACCGACCTTCCAGTGTACCCTGGGAAAGTTAGCGGGCTGAGCTGTAGGCCGGGAGGCAAAGGGAAGAACCCTCTGTTGGAAGGTGGTGCAGCCCCAAAAGAAAGTAAACCCCATTTATTGTCTCGCCAACAACCGGGAGATGAATATCAATCGTTGGGAAAACAGCAAAGCGAGGCAGAGCAGGTAATTGCTGATCTGGATGTGCACATCCAGCGACTACTTCTTGCCGGAGTGCAATATGTGGTGCTGAAGATAGGGCCGTTAGGAGCTCTGCTGAGCTATCGGGCTATTGTCTCTGGAAGAAATCATATCGGCAAAAGCAATGTGAAAAATGCTTGGCAGGGTGTTCATGCGACTGCAACAGTGGAGAATGTTGTCATGGAGAAAGTGCATTATCCAGCTATTCCTGCAAAAGTTGATACGTGCAGCGGAGGTGGCGACTGCCTTGTTGCAGGGACTGTGGCAGGGTTAGTCAGGAGTTTGGATATTAGAGCTGCACTGGCCTATGGCGTTGCTGCGGCCAAGTGGGCAATCGAATCGCCTAAGAATGTTCCGGACAAGATTCCACTTCAACAGTGGGAAGGTCAGTATCAATAACAACCATAGTCTCGGTCTTTCACGAACTCCCTTACCATTTTCTCATCTCCAAATTCACAGGGTCTTCGGTACTTTGAGCTTTTCCTCTTCCAAAGGTTCGAGTTTCAGAATGCACCTAGGTAGCCTGCACTCTGTGTCTGTGTCTGTGTCTGTGTCTCTGTCTGTATCCTTCTGACTTTCTGACTGACTCTCTCTCTCTCTCTCTCTCTCTCTCTCTCTCTCTCTCTCTCTCTCT